ATATATAATAAAAATTAATTTATTAATTAAAAAAGTTTGAGGTTATTGGGTTGTTCTCGCGTTCTCGTAAATCACAGGGGTTCTCGTTTGAACCTCCAGCTATATATATATATATATATATATATTGTTTGTAGGAGAGAACAAATCTTTTTTTTCTCAAAGTCCTTGTTGCTTATTTTGACTCAAATTTTTCTTTGAATTTTTGGTCTTTGGATTCGTGGATGGAGTCCTCCCAAGAAGTAGGGGTGTTCACCAACCCTATCAACCCAATAGGAAATAATCTAATCCGAAGTAATTTGATATTTAATCGAGTTGTAAAATTTTTAAACCGTATGTATTGGGTTGCTATTATTTAAAAATCCAACCCAACCTGATGAACCCGATATCCTTTTATTTTTTGGATTTAATATGATTGTTGAATTTCTATTATTATACACATTATACAATTACACTATCATGTATGCTTTTCATATACACATATTTTAAATCTATTCATATCTTTATATAACTCGTTCATATATATGTTTAGTAACTGTGAATATATATATATATATATATATATATATATATGTAAATTAAGAAAATTAACTGAATGTGATATACGTAAGAATTATGGATAAGTTGTATCAAATGGTTGATGATGAAAAAGAAATTATGAGTAGAGAAATAACATATTCAAGTTTAGAGGAATATTTTAATATATCAAAGTATCAATCCGACCAACCCATACGGGTTCGGTTGGGTTGGGTTAAGATTTTTCCAAACCGCAAACATTAGATTAGGTTTTCAAATGTGTTCAACCCGATCAATTTAACCCATAAACACTCCTACCAAGAAGGGTTAAAATGGTTGTTTCCCTCCTTTTGTTGTTAGGATTGGATAGTCCACCCTCACCTCATGGAATGGTCCTCGTAGACAGTTATTAATTATTTTTTAAGTTTTTGAAATAATATGGTTTGATTTTGAACGTTTAGACTGCTATTTTGATTTTGTTAAATTAAGTCAAGTGCATAAGTTTTATAAAGAAAATGTTTCAACATTTCAACCTTTTTTTTTCTTACAACTCAAAGACTTTATTATGTTAATTCAACAAGACCCTTATTCTGTATGTTTTATTAGACGACAAATTAACAGGGTCGTTAACATTTTGACATGGAAATCTTATTTCCCTTTGTTGCCTCTATCAGTCTCATCTTTTAGGGTGTATTCAGTACAATGAACATGACAAAACAAAACAAGGATCAATGTTCTACATTTGACCGAATTTTTATGTGAAACACTCATGTTCCAACCCCTCATGTTCCAACCTCATCCCATGGAACAATATGCAACAAACTTATTTATGTACCAATATAACCTCAAAATAAAACCATTATTTATCCTCTAAGCCTTGTTGCTTCTCCAATTGTGGTCATTCTCCTATCGCCGTCGCTCCATCTTCACCTCTTGCCGCAGCCATCGATTCCCGCCCCTGATCTCTCTCCCTCTCTTTCTCTCCCCGTCGCTTAATCTACCGTCTTCTTTTTCACAAGGA